CTTCTGACTGCAGCCGCCCAGAGCTTGCACTGGGGGCTACCCTGCGGTTCGTCCCTGCTGGGTGCGGAAGCCCAGAGACGGCAGAGGAGGCCCCAGGTGAGCGGCCCCTGCTGAAGCTGCTACCCGCAACTCCTTATGTGGCCCATGGGGCAAAATAATTGCCCACCCCTGGTCCAGCACATGCCGGAAAGCATATGGAAAGCAGTGTAAAATCAAAAAGATAATGGGCAACAGTTAAAGAGTTGTGATAAACAGCCACTCGTGTCCTCATGCAGCAGCTGATTCAGGAAGTAAAAAACTATGTGCAGTGTTTGAGGATGTGGAGATTCCCAATGAAAAGGAGGATATCTGCTGTAACTTCAGCAGAAACAAAGGCTCTCCATATCCATTTGCTGCAGAAGAAAGCTGGCAGTCATTCAACTGCCTGAATAGCAAGAATGCTATTGGTCCAGTAACTAATGTTATTTCAAGTAGTTTGTGAAGCCAGGAGTAATCTAATCCCAGCTACACAGTTAAAGAACAATATTAGATTGAAGGAACATGATGAAGTGTTGGCAATATGCAATATACAGCACAGGAATGGTCAGAGCCCCATGAACAGGCATTTCAAAGTACAACTAAATCATAAGTGATGCACCAGTCCTAAAGTCCAGTAAGCCTGTGGAATAGCTAGACTTGCAATCTAAAATGCCTCAGAAGAAAGACTAGCAGTAGCACTGATGGAAAGCTTGCATTTGCGAGTAGACTTTTGACAGAGCCTGGCAGACCTTGATGTGCTCAAACAAGAAAAACTCTTATGAAGCACAAGTTAGACATGCGCTCTGATCATGAACTGGTACAGAGCCTGAATAAGAAGCCCCTGCTGAGTGTACCCAGGCAACTAAAATGCCCCCTATTTGGATTCCAGGACTGCAATAATGGGGAAGGGGACTGAAAGAAGGGTCTGAACAGACTTTGGGCATGGTGTTAGCCTGCTGGGCAGACAGGTAAGCAGCTCTGCTAAGAGTATATGTGGAACAGCGTTAGGTGTGGAGAGTAAAGTGCTGTATGACAAAAAGTGACTGTACAGCTCTGAAATCCTGTCTCTGGGGATAGGTTTTGAACACAACTGTTCAGTCTTAATGATGGGCGTTATAGGGTCATAATTTCCGTGAGACAGACTACAGACACTGAGGCACAATTGTGCCTGGGGATTGTGTTTGGAAAAAAAGTGTCTTAGGATGCCTATTCACGAGCAGCGAGGCTGCTGCACTGTGCTGGCGTTCCAGCGCCTCGGAGCAGACTTGATTAATCGAGTCTGCTGGAGCGTGGCAATTGCCACACTCCAGCAGCCTCCTGTGTCTCGAACAAGCTTTAGTTCAAGTGCCCCCGCTGCCATTTTAAAGTGCAGGGATGCTGATACACGACATACAGTGGTGCTTTATTAAAGTGGGCCCCAGAGCTGCTGTACACCCCCCCCCCCCCCCCCCCCCCGAGTACATGTAAAAAAAAAGCCCTTATGTTTCACCAATGGGCAAGGGTACACTGCCTCATGATCCACATGTTCAGTGCCAAATAGGGATCAGGAGAGAAAACAACTCCCCTGGGTTTTCACAAAGCAGAAGGAAAGGAAAGTCATCCCAGAGCCTAATAGCAAAAGACGGTATAGTATAATAAACAGGTTCAAAAAAGGTCCATTAATAGCTATTAAATAGAATAGTCGGGGATGTTGCTTCTGATATCCCTAAACCAAGGATGCTTGATGCCAGAGAGGTTATGATAAAGTACGGATTATATACTGGGAAGTCCTATTCATATGGTCTCCGTCCAAAGCATCTCCGCTTGCCACTTGGAGACAAGATACTGGGTTAGGTGGTCTTACCCACTATGGCACTTCTTGCGTTCTTATGGCAATGGAGACAGAGCCTAGGACGGGTAGGCAACCCCCAGCACGGGTGTCAGTGTGGCACGCAGTTCGTGTTTGTGCTTTGGGGTGGATGGCGGGGAGGGCACTGGGGCCGCGCTGCCACAACAAGGATCGGCGCCTCACGGCTCTGCGGAGCTTGCGGGTGTCCTTGGCGCTCTCTTGCCGACCCCTGGTCTAAGACCACTGCAGTGGAGACGCAAAGAGCACGCCCAGACAGACAGACACACGAGGCCAGACATTTTTATTTTCCCCGAGGGCCTTATTCAAGGCCAAGAACATCATCCAAGAAGGCGGCAAATTTTTCCGGCCGCCCAGGAGGAAAGGGCTTCAGGAGGGACAAGTCCACGGACTGCAGGGTCTCGGCGAGCGTGCTGCAAGTGCAGTAGATGAGGTGGCCGTCTCGGCAGAGCTGCCTGGCCAGCTCCAGCTGATGATTGTCCATCAGGGTTTCGTTGATCACCACCACCAGCGGCTTGCCCTCTCCCAGCGTCTCCAAGCAGCTGCCCGCGCCCGCGTGGCTGATGACCAGGTCGGCTTGGCGCAGGTCTTCGGCCAGCGAGTCCTTGAAGCGGAACACCTCGAGCGCGAAGTCGGGGGCGCGCACGGGCCGTGGGG